ATCACTGCCCTGACTCAAGTCACCATAATATCTCACCTGAGCCACTATAGCCAGCTTTGTCATGATTTCTCCACACCCACTTTCGCTCTTCTCTCATTCATTCTCCACACACCAGTCAAAAATCTTTCTAAAATCGCTCTTCTGCTGAAATCTCTTAACAGCTTTCTTTTATACTTAGGATCAAATTCAAAATCCCTGGCTTGGGCCATTAAGTCTCTTCAAGGGCAGCCCTTTGCAATCCTTTGATGCCTGCACACTCACCACCAGCACTACTGGTTTTCTCCCGGTTCCTGGAAGGCACCACACTCTTCCCTCTTCAGGCTAAAAGAAAAAAAATCATTTATATTTTCTTCCCCACGTGGAATTCCCCTGCACCCTCCCCATTGCCTGACGATCTCTTTCTCTGCTTTCAGGCATCTCATGTGGTCCCAATCTAAAGTAGGTCCCTCCCTAATAGTCCTATGCTCCTTCCTTCTCTACTTTTTAACACAGTTTATAATTTTATGGTTATTTACTTAAGGCAAACGGTAAGTTCCATAAGAGTTAAGACGGTGTCTATTTTCTTCCCCTTAGCTATCACTTATGGCTGGCAAAGGGCAAGGCACATAATAGATGCTCATTAAATATTTCTTGAATGAACAAATCAATGAATGAATGACACCTGATAGGCAGCATAACTGTAAACAAAAGCTTTGTTTTGCTATTGGCTTGAAATTCTGTAAAGAATCTCATAAGAAATACGTTTACACTTTTCATCCACGAGAGAGTCTGGCATTGTTTGAGTTTCTTTTCTCCGCCTGACCCTAAGGCAATTCCAGATATTGAAAGGACCACTGCCTGAGTGACAAAACCGGCGCTGGACCTTATTCCCCCAGTTTCTTGTTGCAGATTCCTCTTCTCGAAAACAAGGAAAGGAAACCTAATTCCCAGCCTCATGATCAGGTTCAAATGAGATAACACACAAGAAATCCCTCTGGAAGCTGGAAAGCATCCTATCAGTGTAAGACGATGATGTCTTTATACTCATCTCACTCTGGAGCTTCAAAAAGATAATTGTTGAGGTTGCTTCTTATCAGGCATTTAATCTTTTCCAGCTGAGGGTGGGCGGGATCAGGCTGAAAGGAAGTTCCGCCCCAGCAGCTGAGCTGGGACAGCCATTTGAAGACCAGCCCTGCCCCCTGGTGGAAATAGTAGGGCAGATGCCCTCAGCCCCAAGGGATCACCAGGGTCCTGATGACAGATGCTGGCTGGAAAGGGGAATCCACCTACTGAAGCCTATGCTTTCCAGAGAAGCAGCTTTTCCCCAGGAGGGGAACAATTCCACGCCCACATGAGAGAAACACAATTAAATATAAGTAGGCGGCCGGGGGAAGACAGAGGGGGACTGGCAAGTTCTCTCCTAATAGGCACGATGTAGGGGTACACAGCACACCCTCCAGGCGAAGGGCTCAGCTATAACTTAGACTTGACCCAACAAATACAAACAATGGAACCTAATCATCTGTCCCCTCATATTCATCTGACATTTTTTTTAAAAGAGAGCTTTTTTCCTTTCTTTTTGCTGCTTTTTTTTAAGTTAATAAATAAAAAATAGTCTATGTTTATGGTGTGTAACTGATCTTTTGAAATATGTATACATTGTGGAATGACTTATTAAAATAGACATCACCTCACATACTTACTTTATGGTATAGAAAACACTTAAAACTTACTCTCTTAGCAAATTCCAAGTATGTGGTACAGGGTTGTTTTCTTTTCTGTTGGAAAATGTTCTCTCAGAAGCATTCCTTGGAGTTAAGTGGGTTTTTCTGTTTTGTTTTTTGAGACAGTCTCACTATGTCACCCTCGGTAGAGTGCCGTGGCATCACAGCTCACAGTAACCTCAAACTCTTGGGCTTCAGCAATGCTCTTGGCTCAGTCTCCTAAGTAGCTGGGACTACAGATGCCCACCACAACGCCCAGCTATTTTGTTGTTGTTATTGTCGTTGCTCTCTAGCAGGCCCAGGCCAGGTTCAAACCTGGCAGCCCCAGTGTATGTGGCCAGCACCCTAACTACTGATCTATAGGCACCAAGCCTGGAGCTAACTGTTAATCAGACATTGAAGAGATTTACAACTCTTTATATATTTTAATATTTGAATTCTTCATATTATCAATAATTCCATTAAAAGAATAATTTCATAATTGCACATACTAAGACTATGGTAGCCCTATATAAAATAGGTGTCCACACATGTACTAGCATGCATAGAGTAACAATTTATATCTAAAATACATTTATGATGCCAGATCCCAAGATCATCTTGAACCTACATCACGTTTTCACCTGGTATGTGCTTCATGGCTCTGAGGAAATTGTTTAATATTTCTGGGTCTCTGTGGCCCCACCTGCCAAAGGGCTGCATGAGGTGATGTCTAAGGCTCCTTGTGGCTCCAAAAATAGCCTACAACTCTGCCCAGAAAATGTATTTAAAAGGATGGGTGGAGGATGCTTCCCAGCTTACCAGGTTCAGGCTCTTCACATCAGCACAGATCCAGGAGATGACCCCCATCACCATCCTGTTAGCAAAATAACTGCATACCTGTCTTCCCCACCTGAGCCAGAACCTCATCAAGTTTCCGCCTGTCCTCCCCACCCTCTTCTCCCCTACCCTCCTCAGCCATGGCCTCAAGTGGGGGGTCTTCTCCTTGCTTCCTCTCCTTCCCTTTCAGCCAGATCCCTTCCCTTCCCTTCCCTCCACGCTGGCACACACAATCAGAAACAATAATAACAAGAAAGGTGACCATTCATTGACCGTTTTGCATTTGGCAAACATTGGGCTAAGCATAAGTTCATTTTGCTTCTCAGCAAACTTAGGAACTGGAAACTCTTTTTATCCACATTTTGATAACTCCCTAAACCTTTTCTGAAGGCCTCTGCGCAAAAGGGTTCAATAGAAAATGATATTTGTAACAGCATTAACCACTTAATGTGCTTTCCACCAAATTGTTCTAACAACTTGTACTCTCAGAAAGTTATCCTCATCCCAGTCTGCATTCCCAGCTCTCTCCACAACCCTGCATCCTCTCCCACACCTTTCCCTCTCCCAACTCCTCTCCTTCACTCTCATCTCCCCGTCACTCACACTTCCACACATCTAAGCATACAGACTTCAAAGCAGAGTCTGTATTCTCTAGATCCCCAATGTCACATCTGCCACTGGGCCACTTAATTCTTACCCTGAAACTCCTCCTTTAAAGCAAATACCAGCCAATGGCCCCATACCTCATGAAGGCCCCCCTCCCCATTACCCAAGGACTTTGCACCTGGCCTACAGTCTCCCCCTTCCCTCCCATCTCCTGTCATCACAGGAGGGAGACATCATGCCTGTGCAGTGGCCCATATAGCATCATGGTCTAATGGTTCTGACCTTGTACTCTCATGGCTGTCAGGTCCAGTCCACTGCTGACCTCTTATTCCAGTGACTGTGGGGTCCAGTCCCCATGGCTGTTCTCTGGACTTTGGCAAAACCTGGGGTTGTGCCTACTTCAAAATCTAAACTCTGGTTTCTACTATCCAGAAACCCGTTTTCCTTCACCCTTATCAATCTCCCACTCACGCTCAGCCCACACCACGGCCTCACAAAGATGCTCCAACACTCAATCTCCATCTTTTTCTCAGTCTATCTGTCCCTCTGGATGTACTTTCTTCTTCCTCCCCATGTTCTAAGATGGCTAATCGCCTCATCGTCTCAAGAGCACCAGAAGCTTCTTTTTCACCTTTTCTTCTTTCTGAACCTATCTCAAAATCCCCAAAGCCACATCAATCTGATAATCGTCCTCTGTGTTCCCACACTAGGATTACTTCCAAATACACACAGAATGTTACTACAAACGAGAGCTGGGCCCTCGATTCTGAAAATGTTTCTACTCGTTGCTAGTCAGATATTTCCCCAGTCCGTGCGCTTATTCTAAACATTCACACCCGCTGTCAGTCATCTTCATCGGGGACGTTCCACCAACTCCTCAAATCCGGTCCCGAACTAAACTCAGCATCTTCTCCCTCCTGTATTCCCTGGCTCAGTTAATACTATGAATTCCCAGCATGTGAAACTAGTTACCTGACAGTCATCCCCAGTTCTTCCTTCTCTTTCTTATTCTTCTCTCTCCTTCCCCACTGCCTCAGCCTTCCCTCTCCCCGCCCCCACCCTTGTTCTAACCTTGTAATTGGCCTTCCTGTTACATTTCAGCCTGATCATGTTGCCTTCTGCTTTTTGCTTAGGACTCCTTCCCAACTCTCTAGACTAGAACAGAAGGCTAAACATGGTCCAGCCCTGTCTGGACTTGATAAGAGATCTCTTAGAGATGGCAATCATTGTCTTTTTCATCTCTACATTTACTTAGCACCCTATCTTTCATTTTTGCATTTGGCATAGAGCCCCAGATATAATCGTCATTCTATGCGATTTTAAATAATGGAGCAAATCATTATTTGTGACATTGTTCAAGGTAGCAAACGGTTATTAGAATCATGGTGAGCACAGAGAACTTACCTGGAATATATATTTTTAAATAACACTTTTTCCCCCCTCTGGTGGGATAAAATATATGTCTCTGTACTTAATAGTCCTTTATATGCCCCAGTGGTAATTGAAACCCTATCTGTACCTCAGGGTACTCTATCATAGTCTTACCTTATTTTTAAAAAACATGATAATACTCTGCACCTGATAATAATGGTATATTCCTAGGGTCTAGATGAAAGTAAAGGATTACTCACTCAAAATTAGAAGTTACAATAATGAACTTAATATAGAACAAACCCTCTTATATTTAAGAGGACAAATATCCTGCAGCAATACCCAGGGCTGCTAGACGTTAATTATTTTTTAAATCACCCAATTATACATAATTCTGTGGTAATCTAAATGATGCCACTTTTCCTTTGGCATATATAACTCAAAGAGAAACACCCCAATAATTGTATATAAAAGCCAAAAGCAACTATAAGTGCGTGAGGTCCTGTCCTTCTTTGACATTCCAGCTGCCCTCTGTCAAGGTGACCATTCCTCATAACACCATGTCTCTCCGATTCTCCGGTGGATCCAGGCGTATTTGCTTACCAGCTGGGACTGGATCTGTCAGACCAGCCAGTGGAGGCACAGGCTTTGCAGGCAGCAATGCATGTGGCACCTCTGTTCCTGGAAGTGGATTTTCCTGCACGTTGGGAGGGGGCTTGGGCGGCGTTCCCAGTGGGAGGCACACCAGTGGTGCCCTTGGAAATGCTGCTTGTGTTGGCTTTGCGGGAAGCGAAGGAGGACTCCTCTCCGGGAATGAGAAAGTGACCATGCAAAATCTTAATGACCGCCTGGCATCCTACCTGGATAATGTGCGCGCTCTGGAGGAAGCAAATGCTGAATTAGAGAGAAAGATCAAGGGCTGGTATGAAAAATATGGACCTGGATCTTGCCGTGGACTTGACCATGACTACAGCAGATATCACCTAACAATTGAGGATCTTAAGAATAAGGTGAGAAATCACAAATTGGAAGCTATTCATAGTTTTTAAAACTAAGAATTACCTAGCAAACGACAGAACTACAAAAGGAAGTCCTCTGTGACTGCTACCTGTCACTTATGTGGTATTTGTTATTGATTTTGATAAATAATTCTATTACTCAAAAGTAGGCACTTTGAGTCAGGCTGTTGGTTCCCTTGTTTATTCTGAAATATATTCATAGAGAAGAAAGTATTGTATTCTGAAAGTCCCGGGAGTGTATAAGAATAAAACCATTTTAACTTTTAAAAATTAAATTGCCAACACTTCACTACACAGGGAAGTAAGATTTTCTTTTCTCTTTTTTCTTTTTGGCCGGGGCTGGGTTTGAACCCGCCACCTCCGGTATATGGGGCCAGGGCCCTACTCACTGAGCCACAGGTGCCACCCAGGAAGTAAGATTTTTTTATGCAACAGCTTAATTGTGTAACAATTTCTGTCTTGTGAAACACTAAATCATGACAGCAGATGTATTTTTCGTGTTCTCCTTTTGATTTCTTCTAGGTTATCTCTTCCACTGCTGCCAATGCCAATGTCATTCTGCAGATTGACAATGCCAGACTGGCTGCTGATGATTTCCGGCTAAAGTAGGTGACAGAAAATAGTCGCGCTCTAGAAAAAATGTCCCATGCATTTAATCTGTGAAATAAAATTTCAGTTTCATCCCAAGTAGAATAAACTGTAACCTAAAGGATTAAAGCAAGCAAGAGATGGATGGTGTACTATTACAAGCAACTATACTCATAATTTATACATATTTATTACATTCATGGGACAAAATAGATCATAGTATTTCTATGCCTGCTTAGAATGTGACTGAACACAAAAGACACCCTCAGTCACTCCTCATTGACCAAATAAAAATATTAACTAAGAAAAAATTTACAAATGGAATGTTTGCATTTAATTGAGATAGGCTATTGGAATTTGTGTAATTAAATAACTGCCAATGATCCCGCACAGAGCAGGGTAGGGCTGATATGGAGGAGGGCTTTCTTTGTATACTTGTATGCTATTTAGAGTCCTAATTCATTTCTAATTTTCAGTTTAAAGCAACTGAGGCTTTATGTTTCTGTTTCTTGAGGTAGTCTAACTTGCACTGAAATTCATTTAAATGTCCCCCAAGGTATGAAAATGAGCTTGCCCTTCACCAAAACGTAGAGGCCGACATCAACGGGTTGCGGCGAGTCCTGGACGAGCTGACGCTCTGCAGGACGGACCAGGAGCTGCAGTTCGAATCCCTCAGCGAGGAGATGACCTACCTCAAGAAGAACCATGAAGAGGTAGGAAAAACTTTACCTCTAGTCAAGTTCAAATGGATGCCAATAGACCAGAAGGGGGCAAGGTGAAAATTCCATGAGGGCCAGCATTTGAGCGATTTCCACCACTGGCTTCCCATCAATTGGACATTTAGTCAATAATTATGTGTGGAATAACTCTCCCAACTCCTTTTCATTTAAAAGTATTTTAAGGAAAAAAAAAAACTTCATGTGGGATGCTGTGACTGTTTTTGCAGTGGTGGTGATCGTGGTTATTTTGCTGAAAAAGTAACTATAATAATTAGAGACTGTCGATGATTGGCATGAATATAGATTAAGTCAAGTTAAAAAATTGGGGGGCCGTAAGTTATATATCAGAAAGTTTAGGTCTCAGACTTTGAGACCTAAAGTAACACGAGTGAAAACTCTTCTCCGACTGTGTGAACACACGTTGCCCCTAAGGCCACGCTCGCTTTTCCTCGCAGGAAATGAAGGCTCTGCAGTGCGCCGCGGGAGGCAATGTGAACGTGGAGATGAACGCGGCCCCCGGGGTGGACCTCACGGTCCTGCTGAACAACATGCGAGCCGAGTACGAAGCCCTCGCGGAGCAGAACCGCAGAGACGCGGAGAACTGGTTCAACGAAAAGGTGAGCTCTGTCCCGCCGGCCCTGCCCACGCCACCCTGGCGGGCACCGACTCCTTTGACCCTTTGCTCTCGTCTTTGCAGAGCGCCACCCTGCAGCAGCAGATCTCCGACGACGCTGGAGCTGCCACTTCTGCCAGGAACGAGCTGACGGAGATGAAGCGCACGCTGCAGACCCTGGAGATCGAGCTGCAGTCCCTCTTGGCAACGGTAGGTGGCAGTGCAGGTCAGCCTGGATCAGGAGATCGAGCGCCTGAGACCCCTCCCCTCTCCTCTATCACACCTTTACCTGCAGCGAGTTCTTGACAGGGCCTAAGAGGAAAGAAAAAACAGACACTCAGAAAGATAGGGTCCTCTTCCTCCTTGGCATCACTAAGGGTGTCCCGGCCGGGGCTCATAAAATGAACGGCATTTCACGTAGATCCTTCCTTAGGGTGGTTCTTCTCAGCCCTGCAGAGCGCACAGTAACAGTATTGCTCCACCTGAAAATTACCTGACAGGTGTACGGTCACGTGGCCACACGGAGACGAGCCAGCATCACACCAGCACCTCCCAATATTGATGAAGACATATGAAAAGCTACACTGTGCTTTTCACCAAACAGCAGAGGAAAAGAGGGTAGACACCCAAATTCCATGCAGGCACTGTCAGCCTGCCTGTTCCCGCAGTGCCCAGAGGTCACACCCCTAGAGCCAGCTTTCGGCCACCTAAACACATAACACCAGCTCCTGGATTACGTCAAAGGTTTTATCCCAGGACTAAAATTGGCTTCCCTTGGAGGTGTTAGCTGGAAGTACCCAAAAGGCTTGATTTGAGAATTATGACACACATGTGGTGTAAGGATGCCCTGTCCTCACAAGAGGTTTTGTGCTCCCTGAGGACACCAGGTTGTAAGACAAAGAAAAGGGCAGTTTTCATACAAACAAATGCAGCCAGCCAAAAAAGAAAAGCGGATTCTTTGATTTAGCCACCCTAAAAAGGCACATTGATTTCTTAGTATATAGTAGTAGTAGGGAGACATGTTTTTACGCTGACCCCCAACTTACCCAGCCTGTATCTCTTGTCCTCACCCTCATCACTGCTGCTAGCAAAAGCCCTGAGAGCCCTGCTCCCGCTGCAGTAGCCGTGTGAGTGAATCCTCCAGTTTTGAGTTATGTTGAAAGGAAAGGACATAAGTTTCAAGCTCCACAATCACAATTTTAAGCATTTTCATATAGAAGCAGTGACAGTATAAAGTAACTAGATTCTGTGCAGCCAGTAGTACTATAATTTGGGCTCATGAAATAATTCACACTCCTCCCCCCAAAAAAAGCCCATTTAACAGACAACATAATTGAATTACAGAATAATGATGGCATACAACCTAAGTTCTGCACTTGAGATTCTTTTGAATTAAGATGAATTCTGAGCATAATTTCCTATAGTTAGCACACGAGTCATTGAGAGTTGACTAAATACATAAACGTTCACATTTTAGATTCCTATAATATACCAACCTCCAAGTTCACCCTATTCTCTATCCTCATCAACAAGCCATCCTTTACAGGGAAAGGCTGTGAAGTAGACATGCTGTCCCCTCTGACTTAGGAGAGTATCAGCAATCTTAAAGCGAATATCCTATAAGGATACATCATCTGGGAAACTAAAGTTTTGAGCGGCTGAGTACACACCTCACTGGTATCTTGCCTCCCCATTTCTGTCCTGATCACCTTCCACTCACATGCCCAGCACCTACACATAACACATGGTCAGCGCAAGGCAGTGGTTCTAAGTCAGTCTCAGTCAGGTTCTCAGCCCACTAGACCCACTGTGGCCTGTTGTAATGATTATCTTGTAACTCCCTCTTTGACATCCTAGAATGAAAATCAATATTAATATATTTAGCAACATGCAAAAGTATTCTTAAAAACTATAATGCCATAACTGCAATAAAAGGGAAAAATATAAGGAAAGAATTTTCAAATAAAATGTATTCATGACTTATTTGGGCCCAGTCACCCAAGGAAATGTAATGCAAGAGATTGTAGCTTTCATCTTCTTTTAATGAATCTTTCATTTTCAATAATGTCAGATCAAGAGTCAGTCGCCCAATACAAGAAAAGAAAAATGAAAGAGTGGAGGTGGGTGGACACTGATAAGAGCTAACATCAGGTGAGGTAATAACTGCCCAAACATATTTAGCTATAATAAGGGAGAGAGGAAAATTACCTTAATTGAAGTGGGGTCATGTGTCAAGGCTAATTACAGACCGTGGAAGCAGAAGACAAGGAGTATGATATTCGTAAGAGTAGTGTCGAAATAACAACCTGTGCTGTGTTATGAGATAGATCTCTCGTCTTGAAGTCCCACCCCTTTGAAGTCATTCTTTTACTCCCAAGTGCTTTGAAGGAGAACAGAAAATCAAGGATGGATTAGAAAAAGAGCAGCACAGAAGGTCTTGGAGAAGTGTCAGGGTAGATGGGTGGGCACAGTGGCCAAGTAACATTGATAATAACAGGCAACCTAAAAATCAATATGTGGTTTCAAAATAGAAGTTTTCTGATTTCTGTTTCTTATTGTGTTACCCCAGAGAAGTGCTTTGACATAAAAATCTATCATAATAGGACATATAATGTAAATATCATGAATTTCCACTGAAATAGTGAAAAGTCTTGTGGAGTCAAGTCATCCAGCACACCTGGTCCCCACCAAGGAAATGCCGGCTTCTTCCCCTTCCCATTTGATTGTGACAAGCCCCACAAATTGCCAAAACTTGCCTAGGAGCAGCGCTGCTGGTTGCTGAGAAACACTGGTCTACACAGTCCTCAGAGTGGGCTCATCCCTTGCTATGGCTTCTTTGATGTCCTCAGAAACAGTCCCTGGAGTGCTCCTTGACCGAGACCGAGAGCAACTACTGTGCACAGCTGGCGCAGATCCAGGCTCAGATCGGGGCCCTGGAGGAGCAGCTGCACCAGGTCAGAACTGAGACTGAGGGCCAGAAACTTGAGCATGAGCAGCTCCTGAGTATCAAGGTCCACCTGGAAAAAGAAATCGAGACCTACTGCCGCCTGATTGATAGCGATGGAAAGTAAGTAAAGTCATTTAAAAATCCAGTTTTTACCTCTTTTGAACTACAGCCACTCACTGCCCCGTTACCCTTCCATGCATTCAAGCCTGTTCTCTTCCATCCCCACTGTAGAAATCATGTCCGTCTCCTGCCTCAGGAGTTAAGGGTGTGTTATCTCTGACACATCTTGCACATCGCAGCCTCCTTCTCCTCTGCCTTGGATGACTCCAGTTGTCCCCACAGAAGTTCCCATTTTTTGTCCATGTTAATCACTGTGGATTCAGGATTCTCTCTACCCCCTCCTCACTTACTCAGTTCATTCTTCCTAATATCATTGCTGCCCTGAAGTAAACGTACTCTGTACAAATGTATGTATGTCCTTAAGTTTTAAATTCTAGGCTTTAAACAAAATCAAGTGGAAACAAGGTTTATTTATGTCCTCTCTTTAGACAACATTTCATTACTTTCAGATCCTGCACACAAAAGTCTTAAGAATTTCCTCCATAGAAAACTAAGACCTTTTTTTTTGGAGACAGAGTCACCCTCAGGGTGAGTGCCATGGCGTCATAGTTCACAGCAATCTCAAACTCTTGGGCTCAAGCGATTCTCTTTCCTTAGCCTCCCAAGTTGCTGGGACTATAGGCGCCCACCACAACAGCTGACTATTTTTTAGAGACAGGGTCTCCTCTCTTGCTCAAGCTAGTCTTGAACTCCTGAATTCAAGCAATCCACCTGTTTCGGCCTCCCAGAGTGTTGGGATTACAGGCGTGAGCCACCATGCCCACCCCTAAGATTTGTTTTTTATATACAAAATTCACTTGAGTTCATTGATTCAATGAATATTTCTTAAGTGATGGCAAACCAAAATATAAAAGAATAAACTTCTTTTTCTTTTACAGTTCATGCTCAAAATCAAAGGGCTTTGAGTCAGGAAGCTCAGGGAATTCATCTAAAGGTAAAAAAAAAATCTATTTATATTTCTACTGCAGCTAATAATTTTGCACCAATGGCAGTCATACAGCATAGCAACAGTCAACATTGAAAGCATTGTAACTAAAGTTGTCTGAACGGAAAGTATTATTTTGGGCAGATAAAACCATCTCAAACCATTATTATGGATCTATGCTTACTTCCTCACCAAAAATGCTCATAATGTATTATAGTAAAACCAGCAGTAGAATTCTTTGTCATGTAATCTTTCAGTATGAACGTATATATTCGCATGTCTTATTTTTAGATTTATCCAAAACCACGCTGGTAAAGACGGTGGTTGAAGAGATAGATCAACGTGGTAAAGTCCTTTCATCGAGGATTCACTCCATTGAAGAAAAGACGTCTAAAATGACCAACAGCAAGACAGAACCAAGGGTTCCTTTCTAGTTGTCATTTTAAAGCAAAGAATTTGGGAAAGGATCCTGCCCAGCTATGTTACTCTAATTAACCTGGAGCATAAAAACATTTTCTGTTTTTAAAGTTACTTAGCCAAGTAACTTACTTAACTTCTACAGTATACTGGGTGCTTTGTTTTCAGGTAAATAAATTTTGATGTGTACCCACTTTCATTCACTGATGAGTAATAAATAATTGTGGTTTACTTTTTTCTGCGTCTAATTCATAAGGAGACATTCAGGGAATAGATTTTAATCGTCTTTCCCTCTAATTTTAAATAATAGTCAATACTACCACATGGCATTTAAATATGAGACTTCACTAGGCATAATCTTTAAATCTTACCATGTCTACGTGGGCAAATAATCCAGAAAAATTCAGAAATTCTCCTGTTGACAAGTCCCACCATTAGATGGCACTTTCCTGGTACTATATGTGTTACCAGGAGCCTACCTCAAACTCAAGCTCTTAAAGGGATCAGGATTCTTCCCAGTCTACCAGCCCATATTTAACAGGACAATTTATGGAAAGACCCATGGCAATGAGCCTCGTGTTGACTTCTTTTCTAAAACAGAGATCAAAAGCCTTGTTTTTTTTTTTCAATGAAGGCCCACATAGTAAATATTTTAGGCTTTGAAAGCCAAAGGTCTCTATTTCAACTACTAAATCAACCTCCGTAGCAGAGAGCAGCCATAGACAACAGATGAATGACTACAACCCTGTTCCAGTCAAACTTGATTTATGGGCACTGACATTTGAGTTTCAAATAATTTTATGTGCCACTAAATAGTATTCTTCTTTTGATTTTTTTTTTTTTTTAACCATTTAGAAATGGAAAACCATTCTTAGCTCTGGTCTAAAATACATGGCAGGCCAAATTTAACCCGCCAACACCTGTTCCAGAACTTACAATATCATGAGAAAGTTGATAAACATGATGGTTATTGTGTCTTCCTGTCTTTCTGCATCACAATATATGGTAGAAATTCTCAACAAGCATTAAATTGCCTACAAGCAAAGCAGCTTCTTTATTACTCTATGACATGGCCTGGTTTTAATGAAAAGCTCCAGGGAGAGAAGGGATTCTACCCCACAACCCAACAGTCACACAGGAGTTCAAAGAAGTGGTGAAGAATGGGATATTTGTAACATCTTTAGCCAAAAGTCATTAAATGAAGCAAGTATGAGAAATTCATGCGGAAATAACTTCCCAGGGATACAATGTGCAGGGCTAGCTACACATTTTTCAGGACCCGCTGCAAAATGAAAATGGGGATCTTTTGCTCAAAAATCAAGAAAAATGTGTCATTAAAGTTACTACAGCATAAAGCTTTTCCCTGTCTTCTACGGTTATTCTCTCAATATGGCCTGAGTTTTTGTTGTATGGGTTTTTGAAGGCTTTTCGATTTAATGTCATTCTAAATAAAGGAAAATTAAAAAATTTAAAGTTATTAGCATAAACTTTACCATTCATTTTTATATTGTGCAATCCTACTTTGAAAGCCAAGTGTAGGAATATTTAACTTGAATACAGGATCGATAAAATTACAAAAAGTTGGTATTTTGTAGCTCACGTATGCCTGTGCATTTTGGTCCTACCAAAACAGTAGACACATCGCACGAAACAAACTCAGCGGTTTTTATTTCACTTCTTTAGATATACACGTGGCACCAGCGCTCTCTGTCTTCGGTTTACTGATGAGCAGAAAATACTGAAAAGAAAAGGAACTATGTGTCATCCTATTTTTCCGTGTCAATATTTTTCACATAAGTGGTTGGCCATTACAGGAAAATAGTACAAGTAATATATGATAGGGTTCTTCAAACGTTTAGGGTTTTTAAGACCACGAATGTCTTCTTTCTGCCCTTAAAGAAAGTTCTGGTTTGAACGGGAGAGCCAGCTTCTTGGGGTTGTCAGAGACTGGGCTTTGTCATAGACATAACATACTGGCTTTGTACCCTGGACTCCTACGCACTGTGGCTCCACTGAGCACGTGGGCACTGCATACACGATATGCCTCTGGCCGTATAGCACAACCGCAGACAAACGTATCTGGCAAACTCCTCTTCTCACTTGCATGCCCCATATCAGGTTTCAAGTTCAAAGATGCAAGTTTGAAGATACAAGACACAAGATCAAAGATAAAACGTCTAAGAATTTCAAGATGGCAAAAGATGTACAGTAAACCAAGTATGGGCCCTTTCTAACGTGAGACCTTGTGCAACTGCTCAGGTTTTATGCACATGAAACCCATCCTGCATATCAAGCATACTCATCACACATTGATTTTCAAAAACAAACAAACAAACAAACACACACACACTTTTTCTTTATGGTAATCTGCTTTCCAAGGCAAGACCTATGACAAACAGTGCACACTGTACTTTGCTGTAAAAATTGATATGAAAAGACAAATCTAATTCACCACTTCTTGCTGAAGAAATAAACCAGAATTCCTTGTGTGTCTACTCAGCAAAGGAACAGGTGCAAAATTAAACTGTGAGTGAGTTTCTTATAAGTTCTGTCGTGTTTACAGGATGGAAGACAACATCCCATCTTCGGATTTCAGGGTCATAAATCTGTCCTTCCTTCTTAGGTGTGTGAAAACTGCCCATGGCCTTGGGTTCAGTGGTTTTCATTTGCTCAGAATTCTGGGGGTTCTGAGATCTTTAGGAATTCTGCTAGTATTTAGATGTTTTTCCCCAGTCCTCGAAGGCTCGCCCTGCTTTTTGCTGGAGTGAGTTTCTACCCTGGAGGTACCTCTAAGAAATCAGTCTCCATCTGAAGGAAAAGGAATTCAGTCACAGTGTTTGGGTGGTTGCTAAGGTAGAAATCACACACTGCTATTCCTTCTTTTAACAAACACTCAAGATTCCGGAGAACTTTCTATAAGGGAAATAAATTACCCCATGCTTAGGTGTTACAAATGTTTTGGTATTTCTATTTTTTCTTTTGATTTTTATCATCGTATAGAAATTGATAATTCATTGTCATTTTAATAAAAATGTCCATCATAGTTTGAGTTTCACAACTGCTGAGAAAAGACTTTGTAATTCCAACATCATAAATAAAATAATCCATGCTTTCTTTTAGTACTTTTGAGATGAGCATATGATTTTTGTCATATAACAGTTTTATTTGCTCTATATAATATTGGACCATCTTTGCATTCTGTCAAATAAATCTCTTGGGCTATTTCATACAATTTAATATACTATTGAATTGTATTTGTCAATACTTTCAGATTGTGTATTTCCAGAAGACGTCCTTTCTCTGAGGACTGATTTCTCCTAAACTTCTCATTTCCTCTGATGGTATTTTACTCAATTTAATAGGGTTTTTTTTCTTTTATTTCTAATTCTTTCCTAAATGTTGTTACCTCATTTCTAATTTTTTTTTTTTACTTTGAGTTCATGTTGTTGTTTTTTTTTTTTCTTCTATCACGTTTAATGGTTTTAGCTCACTTTGAAGTGGTAGGTGATATCTTCATCTGTTTTGTGGGCATGTCTTTCTGGCATGCTTTCATCTTTTACAAGGATGTTGTTTACCTTTTCTACTGAAGATAATAGGCTTCGTGAGTGTATTTAGCATTAAGCAAAGTCTCGGGTTCAGCTTTAATACTTGGCAAGGTCCAAATTCTATTCTTCAGTGGGGCTTTTAACCAAAAAAAAAAACTGTTTCTGGTTTGAGCATATTTCCAGAACAGTTCAAGCTGCTGTGTTTGCTTATCACTCTTACTTCAGCTTTTTGGTTTTTGTTTCCTTTTCAAACTATTTCCTTTTCTTTTGAGCATAGTGATTAATTCAAAAGGACATTTACTGTAATTTGTCCAGCATTAGGATATTTGGTGATGTATGAGAATTTCAAAATATCTAATCTTGTTTAGCTCATAGACTTGAAACTATCAGAATGTCTTTTTTTTTTAAGTTGCATATTTCGTCAGCTTTATTTGTAAATTTTACAACGAAAGCTGTGATGTTCATTTAGGACTCTTTCTTGGTTATGTTTAAATTAAGTTTTGCTTTTTATTAATGGGTGTACTTTGGTTTACAGGTCAAATTGTGGCAAAAGTCAAAACACAAAGCAGTAATCTCTTGTTCTCCACCTACTCCACCCCAAGTCCCGCTTTCCCCAGGAAACCACGTAAAGCTCTTCTAGCTATTTCTTGTCATCATTGTCTCTGCTTTTTAATATTATTTTTAATTAATATTTCTTGGTTTATCCATTTTAGACATTATATATTGTCCTCTGAAAATAAAGTTGGGAATTTATCACTTTCCATTTCCAAATGTATCTATACCATAACATTTGGGTAAATCAATGTTCCTATTTTCATCGTTAAGACTAAGTAAACATTGTTCAGTGTCATGTGGAGCGGTATACTCTATTTCCTTGGCCACCTTTTTTGTTCCTTGGGCAAGCAATATGTATCTAACTTTTTATTGCCTATGTGCCTATGTTTCTAACTCTCTCATGCCTCTTTCTTACGTGATTAAAGCCCACAGGCAATCCTTTCCATCGACTCTTCTGAACACCTCCCTTTTAGAATCCTCTGTCCTCCTATTCAATATCAGCTATTTGTTTTACAAACCTGCTACACAGCTGTCATCTGGGGACATCCAAGCAATACAGTCATGCTGGGACCCCTTTCCTGTGTCCTAACCTTTCCTTCTTCATGTTTGTTTTTCTCTCAAGTGACTCCCTGGCCAAGTGTGCAAGGGAGGTAACTTTTTTGAGACCTTTTGCATCAGAAGACGGTTTTATTCTACCCTCACTTGTAATTATTAGAGAATTTTTAGCTGGATATCATTTTTGGTCCAAATTTTGAAAGCATTCTTCACTATAATCAAGGCTCCCCTATAATTGGATATAAGTTGTTCTTTCTTCTAATATTTTACTTTTTTTTTTTTTTCAGTTTTTGGCCAGGGCTGGGTTTGAACCCACCACGTCTGGCATATGGGGCCAGCGCTCTACTCCTTTGAGCCACAGGTGCCGCCCTATTTTACTATTGTTTAAGTATTTCATTTGTTATTTATTTTAGGAATTTTTTTTTACACTGATTGCATTTGTTAGGTAAAGTTCCTCTTTCAATTGTGTCTTGCTCCCAAAAGGTGTGTCACACACCAAGACCCCAGCCCCTCCCTCCTTCCCTCTCTCTGCCCTTCCTTTCCTCCACCCCTTCCTCCCTTTCTCTCTCTGCTCT